GTTATCTCTGACAGATGTTGGTGTCACATGACAAACACACTTTTGAATAACTTTTATTTACTCTCATTGAAAGTTCCAGGAGCATGTTTAGCGTCACATGATGCATAGGCTTTTCTACACAGCAGAGAGAGCAGTGCAGGGGAAACTGTGCTGATGAAGAGCAAACAGCAGATTTAGCCTCAGAGGGCGAGGCTGTGCCTTACTGTGAACTGCATCATTTTATTTAGAACTGACGTCAGGGCCAGTGGTTAACAGGGAGGGGCAGCCGCTGTGGTTACAATGGGTGCATGCACGATACGTGTGTGTGTGTGTGTGTGTGTGAGTGTGTGTGTGTGTGTACATGTGTGCGTGGTTGAATTTAACCAGCACATGTGCTGCGGGATGTGGCAGATGTTGCAGAGGCAAGGATTAGTGTGTGCATGTCTGTAAGTGTGTGCATTAAAAATATCTTTGCCACAGCAGGAAGCCACAGTGGCCAATTACAGTGCAGCATCTGGGCTAGCACACATTTATTAGTGTGTGTGTGTGTGTGTGTGTGTGTGTGTGTGTGTGTGTGTGTGTGTGTGTGTGTGTGTGTGTGTGTGTGTGTGTGTGTGTGTGTGTGTGTGTGTGTGTCAGTGTGGGTGTGTGTGGGTGTGTGTGTGTGTGTTTGGTGGGGATGGGGAGGTTCAGGCGGAGTTCAGGTTATTTACATCTTAAGCATGTAGAGTTTCAGTAAACAGTGCAGCGTGTGTGTATGCATGTGTGTGTGTGTGAGAGACTATGAGGCTTTGTGTCACTGCAGCATAGGTGGGAAGAGAACAGGGGGAAAGAATTAGAGGGATCGAAGAGTAAATACAGACGAGTGATGAAGACGATGAGGAGGCGAGAGGAGAAAAACTAAATAAAAGCCCTGTCATTTCCAGCAGAGATGTGACACCTCGACGTCTGTCTCTCCACGCTCACAGAAAACAAGGTACAGAGTGAACCTCAGCTGCAAAGGGTACAACTGCACATTTAGGTTGATTGCATAATTCCCTCTGGAGTCTGAGGAAAACTAATCCTATTTGTTTTATTTCCTTTCTTTCAATCAAATCAGTCTGAGATGAAGATAACTTTGCTGTGTGGCTAACTGGGGGCTTGTGAAACACTGCATTCAATTAAATATCATTTATATAAATGGAATCAGCAGCAGAAGTTGAGTACTGCTGCGTTAGTAAAGTTTATGCCCAAATAATACATTTAAAAAAACAAAAAACATTTTGTCTTATTAATTTATATGTTGCCACATGGCTGTAATATTGTAGTTTAAAATTGTGAGTGAGTATGATTCAGATTTTCTCTGTTGGTTATACTCCAAGTTAAATATTTGTCCGTTCTCACTTTTATTTCCATCACAAGTATAAATAATCAACAATTAGATAAAAAAAAAAAAAACAAAAGCAGGGAACAGAAATGTATGCTTCTAAGCCTTTGAGCTTCTGAAACAATATAGTAAAACTGCTCAATTCCTATCAAGGCTAATGTACTATCATGCTTGGATACTAATTGAGGGACAATTAACGGCACCATCATTAGAGCTATAGAAAGACGAGTCGAGAGGAGATGCGTTACAGTGGGTGGAGAAGAAGGAGGAGAATAGAGTGGTGGAGGAAGACAGAGACATTTCCAATGAGGGGGAAAGCTCTGGAATAACTTTAGAGCAACTCCAATTGATCATGTCATCAATCACGGTTTTTCCCTGTGTGTGGCTGAGGAGAGAGTCTGCTCTAATGCGAGACCATCGACAGTGGCTTCCATTATTAATACCCTCCATACTCTGCTGGACTGCACAATCTGTAAAGGACACCTCAGCTAAAAAGCCTCCTTAATGTTGGACTTTATTGGACACTCTCAACTAATGGACTAATGTCGCCCCTCTGAGTATTAACACAAATAGTTTCAGTTCAGTTTCAGTTTAAGTTGTTTGGGTGGACAAGCAATAGCATGATGACAGGTTCAGGAAACACATCGGTCATCTACACAACAATGTTCCGCACAACAATACACAACAAAGAAAAAAAACTTTAAGAAGGTCTTCATGTTCAGTCTGTCAAGAAATAATTAAGAATCTGGCCTGACCTTACTCTGTGACATTGAGATTTTTTTTCTATCTTCAATTAATTAGCACAAAAGTAAAGTGAAATAAGTCCCGCTGTGTAATTACTTGTTAGACAGCACATATAGAAAATCTATTTGTCTCAGGCTGCCAATCCCGTACAGCTAAACGCAGAGGCTGACATTTGTTTTTATGGTATTGGCTCGATTTAGCAACACACCGGCTTAAGGAAGAAAAGCTTGCCTATTGGTCCAGTAAATAGAGGGAAAGTGATTCAGAGTATAGATTGATGTGGTGGATATATTGCTGTATGGAGCAGAATCTGCTCAGCGGGGAAGGATCCGTCCATCAAGTACCATACAATAAAGCATGTAAAATATCCAGTCAGATAATGCCTGGTGCAGCATATTGACTGCAGCACAACAACACAAAGAACCTTAATGTGAAGGTTATTGCTCTGTTTATTTGCATTTGTCAAAGAGGAGGGAGAACACAGGGTGCGACCTAAAGAATTCTGACTTCGTCTGCAAATTAATTTTAGCATTTCACAGGCCTGAGACTATAGTCACAGGCTTATTTCAACTGATCCCATCCAATCAGGAAGTACCTCCTGGGGAAACTGCTGCCAGATCGGAGAAACACATAATCCCACTGATTACATGCAAACACTAATTAAATGGTAATCTGATTTTATCATCTCTTTAAAATGAGGGTATTTGTTAACGATTGTATAAGACATATACAGATATAAACATCTTTGCAACAGTAACAGCAGCAGGTAACATTCAGTTACTGAAGTTTCTGCCTCAGTGGAGAGGGGCCTAATTCACCCCTGCTTCTGCAGAGCGTGAACATTCAGGAAATGAATTAGTGTTGCCTTCCAGCCATTGAAAATAACAACACACACATATKTATATATATATATATATATATATATATATATATATATATATATATATATATATATCCAGTAAAAATGAATCGTGTTTATCAGGCCTGGTAGTTTGTTAGTCCACCTCAACCTTTTGTCCTTGTACTCTGCTTTTTCCCCTGGTCTGGTCTATTTTTCATCCGTGTGTAACTTCTGCCCCCCAGTGGTTAAAGCGACCCACTGCCTCCAAAGCAGCGAGTTTGATAGGACCATGGTTTTAATCAATTTTTTCATTATATTTACCATTTGTCCTTTAAAGGTCTTGGAGGCACTGGAGCCAATCCCAGTAGACATTGAGAGAGAGTCGGGGCACAGGACAGGTTGCCAGCCAATCAGAGGGCTGATATACAGGAATAAATACACTCACATTCTCACTTTTGGTCAGTAGAGTCTCCAACTAACCTAACCCCAGTCTGCATGTCTTTGGACTGTGGGAAAGAGTCAGAATAAGCGGTGAAAACCCATGGAAATATGGGGAGAACATACAAACTCAACATAGAAAGGAGTTTGTTGTGATGTAACAGTGTTAATCACTGTGCCGCCACCATGGTTCTCATCTTTATCTTATAGATGAACAGACTTACTTATCACAGCATCAATGTCTCACATCCCCCTCTCTACCTCATTCCTTGGATGTTTGACCTTCACTTTGGAAAACGGTGAATGTGCAGAGTCTGACACCTGAGGAACTGTGTTTACATTCATCTACTGGCAGGAAACGTTTCCCGGTGCTTACTGTGAGTCTGAGTTTAGTGTGTGTAGATATAAGTAGGAAATGTGACTGAGTGTGTGATGTAGAAATCAAATGGATATCTTAGTGACATATTTCTTGTGTCAACAAAACGACATTAGCATATTCATTGGTTCTGTATTTCTCAGTGGAGAAGTTTGAATGTTTAGGCACCTGAAGTTTTTTTGGGGGGGATTATGACATAAGACAGAAAATATAAATCGAGGACTTATGTTTTTCATGTATGAAATTTTCATTTTGCAGACATTTTGAGAAATTGTGACAATGGACCATAGTATACTTGCTCTGTATACTATATCCATTACTGACAATAACTCATCAATTCATTTGTTATTGTTGCCCCCTTCATCTCTATCAGACATTTTCTTACGTATAAATACTTTAAACGTGGAAACACATCTCCATTATGTTAATCGGTGTTGTAAATACTGTTATTTTGTTGATGTGTTTAGTTACACTTGCACTTGTGTCCGTCCTGGGAGAGGGATCCCTCACATGTTTCTCTTTCTGAGGTTTCGAGGTTTTTTCCCCTGTTAGTAGGTTTTTCTTTGTAGTTTTTTCTTACTCCTGTTGAGAGTTAAGGACAGATGATGTAGCACCTTGTTAAACCCTATGAGACTAAATGTGTGATTGAAATGCATCGTAGTGTTTACAGCATATTTCATCATGTGAAATATACATTATTATTAATGCTAATGCTGGTGGGAATATCTTTAGTAATCACCAATTCATGATCCACTTTTGCATATTAGAGGAGTAGACTGCCATATATATTTCACACTCACATTATGTTTATCCTCATATTAACTTCCGTGTTTGTCCCAAGGCACTTTTTCCTCAAACATGTCAAAAATCCCTTTCACCTAAATCTTACACACTGAAGCTTAAAGTAAAAGTAAAAGTACCATATTTTTCTATTTGTGTAAAAGTAAGTTAGTACCTGCATTTAAATAAATGGAGAAATAGAAAAGCAGCCACAGAACAATTTGGGCTATTTTGTTGGGCTGTACGTTTTACATTTACTGACTTTTAAAATATCCAAATGATAGAAAAGTCTTCTTGAATTGGCAGATGTGACAGGGCTCAACTCAAACATTTGTTCATGTAATTTCTGTTAATGTACGAACTGACCTACAACAATTATCAATTCATAGAGGGGTGTCCTTGTTGGATTCTGGGACAGGAACACGACTTCCTCTGCTGCAGCGGCACTGAAAATACACACGCATACTCACAGACTGTCCGTGTCAGAGCACCATGGAGAGGCCTGCAGTGGTGTCGGGCCGCAGGAGTCCCTCAGTACCAGATTACAACATCTCGACCTCCACCCTGGCCTTCGACCAGCATTTCTCCACAACTGCTGAGGGAGTTCTCCTCCAGGCTGAAATAGTAAGTGTGAACGTGGAGTTTGAATAACTGTAGAAATGATCAGCAGGTCTAAATGTCAAACTTACAATAGAGCTAATTGATAATCACTGTAATTTGAAATATTTATCAGAACAGTATGTCACACTTAAAGACCAGACACAGTGGAATATCTGTTTAGGTTGTTTCTATTCCACAGTTTAATCCTATAGATGTGTACAAAAACACATAAACGCAGGTTTCGAGTTTCATCTTGATAATGATGCATTTTTGCATTTTCCTTAGATTGTATACAATAGATTAAACTAAAACTATGTTTCTATGAATATAGGAAGTTACCAACCAATAGACCAGGCGAATCAAATCTTCCTCCTTTATCTCTTTCATTGTTTCCCTTCCTTCAGCTGAGGGAAAGAGACAGGACAGCCAGTCTGTAAATACAGTCTGGCTGGCTGCCATGCAGAGGCTGGACCAAACTGATTGCAACACTTTTTAATAAGTAGAATGGAATTGGACACTCTAAAGCTGCTTATTTTGGAATTGTAAAACACACCATAAGATCTTATTATAGGTTATATAGCCATATGTATACATATAGCATATTATAACTTCATAACATAATCAATTTATCTTTCAGTTTAAAAGAAACCAATGTGGCTCGTAGTTGTGTTTTCCACCAGAAACTGTTTTCTTCCTGTTATATGAAACATGCAGCAGGAATCCTGTCGGACAGGAAGGGTGGATTTGGTGTAGTGCTGTTTGGAAGCAAAGAGATTTAGCTACTCACCACCACAACACTTCGATGCCGTGGAGAGGGGAAAGGCTGGATGTGAATTTGCTCTTTGACAAACATATGAACACAAGAGAAAACAAACAAATTACATATGAAGGGTGACACAAAAATTGAAAAGTCGTCCATCAACCAGCTCACAATGCTACATTTCGTGTCCCACAACTACTATATCTCCTCTACAGAGAAACTGAGCCAAATATTTGCTCGGCTTATAGTTTAGATAGAAGACTTAGTTTTGTTCTTCAGTAAATAAAAATAATCACCATAAACCAATGTTTTGTGCCTAATCGCCCTCTCATCCTCCTCTCCTCTCATCCTCCTCTCCTCTCATCCTCTCCTCTCCTCTCCTCCAGGTGTGTGGTATGTTAGTGTGGATTCTCATTGGGGGCACAGAGTATTTTCAACTGTCTGCTCTTTGCTGGGTGATGTTTGTCGCCATCTCGTGCTGGGTTCTGACAGTTTGCCTGTTTTTAATTTACCTCACTGGAGCTCACAGGAGGATACCACGGGTCCCCTGGACGATGCTGGTAATGTACCACGACCTAGGCACAACCTTGACACAATGCATGCCTTGTGATGACAGTGGGCGTATTAAGATCATTTAAGATCAACACATATAAGCTGTGCCCAGATTCAGGGGCCGAATGAAGAAATGAATCTTTATATTTATGTCCATGAAAGGTTGTTTAACATTAAAATGTATGAAAGATACTGGAGTCAGTAGGAGGCATTTGTGCAGAATGGCACTTTGCAGCCCACCTCAACATAATAGGTTTAGTACCATGTGAATATAAATTCTAGAGAGGGGGCTGGACTGCTTTGTCTTTTTATCTGTGATTCACAGTTTGTGTCTCTGTCTCCTCCAGTCGCTGTGTTTCCACTGCAGCGCAGCAGCGCTCTATCTTGTGACAGCAGTAGCAGATGCTCTGTCTGTCAACCAGGCCACTAGGGGGCGACACAACTACAACTGCTGGGCCGCATCTGCAGTAAGAGATGTCCTGTCATTACATGTGCAAATGTTCAAAAGAGAGTTTTTTTAGGGCCCGGTCACACACATGCAAATGTTTCACTGGCGAACCTTCGCCTCCCGCTCGCTTCCGATCTGAATGAGCGCGCTCGCCAATAAAACACTCACTTCCTGTATCGAGGCAAATCGCAGTGTGGAGTTTTGGTGAACTTTGACCTGCGATATTGGTACGTGTGACCAGGCCCATACTCCTAGTTGAAAGTGTGTGTTTAATTTCTGTAATGCCCCTTAAAGTTGTTTTGATGTTTCTCACCTCTTCTTCACCTCTCACTCCTCCAGTTCTTTGCCTCTCTGAACACACTGTGCTATGCAGGAAGCAGCTACCTGAGTTACCACGCCTGGAAAACCACAGAGGAGGAGCACTAGTTTAATTATGTGACCACGAACCTGGAGGTGTCTTACTGCGGAATGAACATGAGGAGAATATCAGATGACAGGAGATCAATTTTCAAACAAGATGCTTCAGTTCAATCATAACTTGAGAGGAGACTGTAAATGATCACGATGGAATGCAGAGAATTTGACAGAAAATCCAATTAAGTTCATTGAAGACATCAATCCTTTTAAAGATGAAACAAAAACCTGCTTTCAAAATGTATGAGGTTGTTTGTGCTTAGTGTTGTCACACTGAAGTCATCTACACAAAAGAATAAGACATTTAAAACAAATGAAATATTGAGTATGAGTGGTTGATAAACACAGTCAGTTTATCTTGATCTTGATTATTTGCCATGTAATCTACTTAACACATACAGTTAAGCTGTGGTTCTTCTCAAGGGTTAGCTTCTTATAGCCCATACCTCCACCAACATTCTCCTTAAATTTAATGAAACTGCAGCAAATTTCTCACACTCATAAATATCAGTTCCTTAAATATGCATTTTTTTCATCAAGATCCATGAATTATTCTCTGGGAAATTGGAAAGTTGAAAATATTCCTAGATCCATTCCTTTTTACAGATGTTTGGCCAACGTCCCCTTCTTCCACCAAGTGCTGTGGAAATCCTACAATACAGACAACCAAAAACTTCCTTGGCAGAGATAACTGTAACTGAAAATGGTGCACTCATGAACAGATTCACCACCATTCAGAATCAGAATTCAGACTATTTAATTTATCTTCTAGTGTTCGGTAAATAAAGCGACGTTGAAAACATCCTGAGGAAAAGCAGCAATGCAGACAGAGGTCAGGCTGTGAATAAGTAGCTTGAAACTATCCATGTTCTAGTGGCTGGCTTTAAAAATATATATATCTTCTCAAATAAAGACACCATCAAATGATGAATGAAAGAAAGTTTGGCTCCCTGTTTGTCTTAACTTGTTAATGTAGAATGTGTAAGTCACTGTGCCTCTCCTGACAGCAACTGGGATTTATTATTACATCTGCAACACTCCGTTTTCTTGTGTCCCTCAGTGCATGGGTTGACATTGTGACTCAATTAACACACCTTAAATATCAACATCTGACTTTTTTTTTTACTTCTCTTGTGACATACTCAGATAATAAAAAATGTAAATATTCAGTTTTCTCCCTCTGAGGATAAAAACAAGTTTAGTTTTTGGCAGAAGGAGTAATGATTAAGGGTTAAATGAATGTCAAACGTACGCAGCAGTACCACTCCCATGATTTTTTTATTAAACATTTTTTATTTTGTTTGCATGCACCAGAATTTAAAAGGATTCAGATTTTACATTTGTCCAACCATTAAAAATATGTATGAATGAAAACCATACAGTCTTCAAATATATCATCACAGCTGAATCTCCAAATATGATTTTGATTGAATGTAAGATACATTTCTGTTTTGTGTTCTACAGGCTGATCCTTGATAACTTTGGATTATTCCATCAAACTAATCATTAGTACAGCATTACTCAGCTTTTCACTCATTATGTGCTAGTGCTATTGCTGTATTGAGCTGCCCAGTGAGCTCCCATTGAAGTGATACCATTGCCGTTAGTGCGGCCGCTCAGCATTCGCAGCTCTGTGTCCGGGTAAGTCGGGTAGAAGTTGAATGATTTCTGCAACACAGCATTATTAAATGTTTTTTATGTTATTGCATGACCACAAGCATTAGTATTGGTAATTCCAACAAAGAGAATAGATAGAATACCTGATAAGGCTGGCCAACAATCAGAAATCGCCCTCTGGAGGTGACGAAGATCACCTGATAGATGTAGTTGCTGTGGTATTTACCAGAGAGCTGAAACAAGAGAGACAATGTGAACAAAATATTACACTTAGTGGTTGTAGTTAGTACTCAGTAAATTATGGTAACAAATCATGTAATTGCCATTTGAAAAAAAAGTCATGAATCAAATCATTACAGAACATTTCTTTCTGATAATTTCAAAGTAGTTTGTATTGTTTATTTTAGTACGAGTGCAATCTCTAACCTGAACAATGGCCTCTCCATCAAAAAGTGACATCTCATTCACTGTGCCATATACCCGTCCAAGTACTTTAGACCAAATGTAGTCATAACGCAGCTGGATACTGAGGAAACACACAGTTAATTACAAAAGATATTAGTAGTCTGGATATTTGAATCGATGGAACAAGAACAATAGAAAAAAGAAAATGCACAGAAAGGAGTGATAAACACAGGCACCTTCAGAAGCACTAAGGAACTGTATAAAAAGTATTGAGGAAAAGAGAGTAGAGGACTCTATGGTTCACTTTAATATATCTAAATAATAAATAGTCTGTAAATGGTCTGTGTTTTTATATAGCACTTTTCTAGTCTTAATGACCACTCAAAGCACGTTACATTTCAGTGTTCATCTATTCACACACACATTCATACAGTGCAGCTATGTTGCAGCATTTTTTGGGGGGGGGGTCACTATCTTGCCCAATGAAACTTTGTCATGTGGAATGGGGAAGACTAGGATTCAACCACCAACCTTCTGGTTAGAGGATATAATATAATATATAGCACCACTGAATTGACACAAGTCACGATTTAAAATTTGTGCCATTTAAAACTTACTGTGAAACAATTTTCCCAATATAACATTTTCAGCTGAAAGAAAAAAGAAATGAAAGGAAGAAAGACTGACCCAGTGATGTATTGACCTTGGATCTCCCAGACTCTGACTGCTGTGATCCTTCCCTTTCCATCTGAGGCAAAGGAACTCCCACTACCACCAATGGATCCAGAGAAGGAGTAGTTAGCTGGAGAAGAGAAAAAACAAATATCACGTGAGGGACAAACTTCATCTCTTGATCAAACCATCCATACACAAAAATCTTGGATGTTGGATGGGTCAAAATTTCAACAATTGTTATTAATTCTTACGTTTTGCCAGGCAGCTGGCAAAGAGCCCAACGAAGAACAAGACGGAAAGCATTCTGGTGAGTGAGGGCGTCCAGACACTGACAATAGAGAGCAACTCATTACACATTGTTTTACAGATTTTTTTGACTTCAACTTATAAGAAGCAACGACTGAACATTATTTTAATCAGAGTAAATAAATACAAATAAAATAAATAAAATAAGAATCTTTCAAACTGAAACAATTGGGTTCATCCAACTCACCTTCTGATACCTGTGTGAGCAGCCAGAGCAGAGGATGAGCAGACACTGTGACACTGGCTCTTAAATACCTTTAGCTACCTACCTCACACACACATAGACACACACACACACACACACACACACACACAAACACACACACACACACACACACATTCCTACTTGACAGCCTGTAAAGGATAAACAATAGCTGAGATTTTTTCTATTTCACACAAAGGCTTTTGGTTACTGGAAATAAACATTGAACCAGGAAGAGAATTTTGACAACCATCGTTGAGTTCATTTGGTTCAGGGGTATGTTTTTCCTCCAGGCTAAATGTAAAATCCATTGATAGGAAATGTAATGTCATGATAACCCCCTAGCTCATGAATCTGTTTGTGATCATCACAGTAAATAGGACTGTAACATTCCTGATTAATTCATAGTTTAAATCTAAATCAGATCTGAAACCTGTGTCACATCAGTCTGACTCACAATAAACGTCAAAACTTTATTCTAAAGGGGCTTTCGCCCCTAAAGCGGCTGTCGCACCGACATCGTTTATTCTGGATCTTCAGACTTCGCAGTTTAGTCTGAGCCAAAATAACAGGTGTGAAAGGTGCTGCGTGCCACGGAGCGGACCAACGAAACGAAAGTTAGTCCAACAAAAGGACAGTTCAAAGGAACCTTGGTTCAATTCTTTTGGAATTTGAAAATATTTTATTTTAAGTTCAGACATTTGGGCCAGTTGTTAATCAGGTAAAATGCTACAGAATCCCAACAATTTTTTCAGGAATATGTTGGGAATAAAGCAAAGAAAAAAAAACATTGATATATGGATGATGCACAAACTTACCCTCCAGAAAATGCTTCACAGTCCTGCAGGAGCTTTTTTCTATTGAATTTAAATCAGATTCAAAATGAGAATAAAGACTGAAAACTTGAAATGTCTTTTCGTGTGCAATGGTGTGAACCGTCTCCTTACTAATCTGCCAATCTACCTATTAATTATACAAATGTCTGTCTGTTGTATGTTTGTTTGTGTGCAACGTATATCTCTCTAACTTGTCAGCTTCACACTTGTGTATTCTTATTGGTCCATAGATTATAAAAAATAATAAAAAGTGCTCAGTGGGAGGTGGGACAGTGTGTCTTCAGTCTGTGGGCCAAGTTGAACACTTCTACATCCTCCATTAAATTACAGCAGCTATAACTACACCTTGCTGCTATATTTGACTTATTTTATTTTAATCATACATTTACAAATAAACCAGAAAGTAACATAAGAGGGATATTCCTTGTGATAGTTTCAACTGGTTCCACTAGATTCACATGGAATCCTTGGTTGAGTATCACATAACTTCCCCGCATGTTTCACAATAACTTTTTGAACATGAGAGAGGAGGGAGCAGTTTTGACTTGAGTTCCTTGTGAGCGTATCAGAAAATCCCCAGGTGTTTTTTTAGGATTGTTTTATCACATGGTTTTCTTTTAACTTACTTTTATCTGTGGTCATGCTTTTCAATTGAGGATTTCTTAATGATAAACACTCCCTGAAGCTCAAACAGATCATACATCTGTGTCTCAGACATGGGCTGATGCTGCTTTTCTTAGCTGCAGTCATTGCTGTCAAAGCATCTGTTTGCTAAGAGCAGCTGACTGCTCCGTGGCTGGAGTTGACCTACAGAGGTGGCTGGTCCGTCATCATGAAAAAATAGTCACCATGTGCCCGAGCAGCAGGAGAGGGGGTCGGAGACTTAAAATTCTCTTTTTAGAAATGGTCCAAAGACAAAAGTGTCAGTTGCGATGTGATGACATCAGAAAATACTTTTCTGGCCCATCCCTTTACTTTATATGCTGGTTGATCATTGATCACTGGTTGAATTCAATTCCTCAGTTCTCAGCTTGTGTTTCCAACAGCACCTTCTTCACATGCTACTATGCCAGGGGTGGAGTCTGTGTGTGTGTGTGTGTGTGTGTTCTATTTTAGCACAAATCACTACGTACATTAACTCACAATATTTTTCATTGTCAAGACCTTAAATATCAGAGAAAAACCCAACAAATGAGCAAACACTTGAAAACAGTGAATCAGCCTTTGGCAGATCTAGACTCTCTGTGGGGGCCGTCTGCCTCGACAGGTCTGATGCTCACAACTAAACATCTTTCCACAACAAATGTGCTGACCCATTAAAAACAGTGTTTAACATGGACACTTGATCAGATTTGCTAATGCTGTTGATTGTGTGCATTTACTTTGGTGTGAAGGGAACAGGCCTCTCAACAGCTTTGGTTCCAAAAACCTCCTAAAGGAAAATTGTCTGTGTCAGACATTTTCTTTTGAATAAACATTTTAAACTGATAAAGCTCTCCATTTAAGTTAAACATTGCCTTTCTGAATATTTTAAATATTGTTATCGTGTCTATGTCCTCTCTTACATGACATCTGTTGCTTCTGTCCGGCCTGGGAGAGGTATCTCTCATATATTACTCTCCCCTGTTAAGGTTTTAAGTTTTTATAAGTTTTTCTCACTAGTAGTTCAGTCTTGTACAGTCTAGTCTAGTCTAGTCTAGTCTTGTGTAGCCTTGTATATTCTAGTCTAGTCTAGTCTTGTGTAGCCTTGTATAGTCTAGTCTAGTCTAGTCTACTCTAGTCTAGTCTAGTCTCATCTAGTCTAGTGTTTTATAGTCTAGTCTAGTCTTGCACAGTCTAGTCTAGTCCTGTGTAGCCTTTCTATAGTCTAGTCTTGTATAGTCTACTCTAGTCTAGTCTTGTACAATCTAGTCTCATCTAGTCTAGTCTCGTACAGTCTAGTGTAGTCTACTCTAATCTTGTATACTCTACTCTAGTCTAGTCTAGTCTTGTCTGGTCTAGTCTCATCTTGTCTCATCTAGTCTTGTCTTGTCAAGTCTAGTCCCGTTGAGTCTAGGCTTGCACAGTCTAGTTTAGTCTCCTGTAGTCTAGTCTAGTTGCATCTTCTCAAGCTCTATGTGCGACTATCTTCATCACTCATAGTTGATGACATCCCCACCATACTGGCTTAAGAAGGTCAGAACGTGCATCAGTGCAGTTTCTGTCTAGTGTAATATTGATTTTGGCTTGGATACTGATGATAAACCTGTGCTTCAAGGATGTGGCAAAAACAAATGAAGCAAATGTGGTAAGTGGAGGCAGAGAAATGCCTTACTCAAAATATTGGCTGTCATTCTGAGTCGATTCCCGTAAGTGAGGGAGATGAACAGGACTTTCTTGTTTGTAACACAGTGCCTCTGCATCAGTAAATAACCCAGTGATGTAAAAGCTATCAAACGTGTTTGTCTTATGACTCAAACCTTTTGGCCATAGCTCAACAACAAGGTCAAAAACAATATTCATGCAAAAACACCATTCATAATTTTTAGTCAACTAAAGTGAACTTAACCAAACTAAAACCTTCAATTGTTCAACATGTATCTCTTCTCTGAAATGTAACACTGCTGTAACAAATGGTTCTAAGGGCTGTTTTCGTTTGTCTATTGATTAGAACCTGTTGTCTGGAATTGTGAGGTTTTGTTTTCATTCTGGTTTGGTGTTTGGTTTGTGCAGCTCTTGTACAGAGGCCTCTTTTGTTATCTTTATTTCTTTGAAATAGGACCCACTGGTCTGATAGTTCAATACCTGTCTTGTAATTTAATCCTGATACTGATTTTTTTCAAACAACAAACAACTTTTTATATGTTACCTGCTTTTCCCTAGTGAGCCAGGTCGTAACAGGGTGCTTCAAAAGAACCGATATGTTTTTCTGGTTGGTCACACGAGAAGGCAGAGAGAAAAGAATTAAAACGAGATGAAAACATTTTTTAAATCAGTCTCAAGTGACAAAAATGAAGAAGAGATGACAAAGGTTCACTTGAATTTTGACTTTGGAGAGATAGAATTAAAATTTTAAGTATAGATTTATTTGAGAAGTAAGTACTAGAAATGCTGCCAAACTACATGCATTTGCATTGATCCTTAATGCCTTGCTGCAAACAGAGAAGGTGTTTTCCTTTGACTCTTTAAAACAGACATCATGTGGATATGTGCAGGTGATTGTTATTTGCACAATCCTGTTTAAATCGATCTAAAATAACACAGTGAAGTTAAAGCATTATATTTTTTTGCAGCAGAAATCCAAGGCCTCTGTTTTTCACCTCATGCAATGAAATTTTTTTCTCTCCTGTCACTCAGTCATTGCTGACTCTTTACATGACATCATTATAAAAGTTACTGAAAGTCACCAGCATGAGGAATGACACTCAAAGAGGTCAGTGAAAAACTAATGATTTTTATTACAGAAATTTAAAAGGACAGTAACATAAGAGCTAAACATCTGTATGAATCAAACAATAGCACTGAGAACACTTTTTTTTTTCTTCTTAATAATAAGAGGCCACTCCATTCAACCATTGGGATACTCCCCTATGGATACTCCACAGACAGCCAGCTTTTTCCATGACTTAGTGATATACACCGTTTAGTCTCCAAGAGACAAATGCCAGGTAGAGACTTTTCATCCTTTTGAGAACACAAAACGGTCAGGGTAAGTATTTAGGGATACATAACCTGGGATCAAGAGGCACCACTTTGCCGATCATATGACCAATAAGGTTTAGCACCCCTCTCCAGGGGCGAACAATCTGTGGACACTTCTACATATAGTGAAACAGCGACCCCTTCTGGTAATTACATTTAAAGCATGTATCAGGAATATTGAGGTTAAAGTGATGCAACCTGGCTGGAGTGATGTACTGCATAGTCAGTCAGCCAATTGTATTGTAGAAGTTTGGAATGTATGCTAACAGTTTGTGTTTTAACCAAGGAGCAGGCCTCCGAACATTCTACCTCTGTTACTTTTTCGTTCAAATCTGTATTTTAGGCTCATATAATATTCTTTGAAGAATCTTTGGACCAGAAAAAAAAAACTAATTGTATAGCACTGACATCTGTCCCCTGTCTTCTAAGATTGACAAAGGGGGAAGTGTCAAACTATTACACTATTGTAGTTTTTTAGGAATACTATATTTGGCTTTTAGATCTTCAAATTACATACATTTATTATTATTGTATAAATCAGATACTTCAGTTATACCTTTGGAGGACCAAAGTTTGAAACCCAGGTCTGCTCTACCTGGGCAAAGTCATCATTACCACAAATTGGCAAGAACTGAGATTATTGTTTCGTCTCACCCAAATAAGCAAGGACATAATGCCAGATCATCATTTAAGTAGCTTTTTCTTATCTGCTGAGTATATATACACAAATTTAACATACCATATAAGACAATCATACCTGCCCTCTCATTTTCTGTCAGGAACATTATCACTGAAATCAGTGATAATGTAAAATGTCTTTTTTTCTAAACTTCAAACTGACTAAAAAGTCTGCTGTGAGGTTTGATTCTCGGCTTGTGACATAGACATGTATTCAGTTTTCTGGTTCTGCATTGAAATATGTTGCTTTAAGTGCAGACTAACATGAAAATCCTCCCTGACTGTGACAAAAGTCTTAACTGGCATCGTCACAACCGTTCAAGTGATCACATTCTTCCACATTCCTGTTGATACTCAATGTGATATGAAACCAAATCATGTAAAAAAGAAAAGAATACACTGAAACCTCACATTGTCCCTGATGATGGCAAAGTTATGGACCTTCTATGTAGCCTCTCCCTTCATCACCAGCAGCATTAGAGACTCATGTGTCCTCTGTGAGTTGTCACGTGCACGGCTCCACAGTGCTGCAATCAGACTTATTATTAGTCAGTTGGAAAGTCATGGGACAGGCACGGGATTAGAGAGAGAGAGAGAGAGAGAGAGAGAGAGAGAGAGGGAGACTGGCTCTTTATACTTAGTCCACGTTCAATGTTTCAATGGACATTTCTTATTCTTGTGGGTGACTCAAAATTATAGTGCTAGGTTCCAAGATTTTGATGAAACCGAATGATGTGTACATATATCTGTTGAAGCTGTATCTAGTTGGAAAACCAAACAAACGAAGAAACATAAGACAACCCCAAATGCTGATATGATAAACTACATCTCATGTGGAGATGATAGCTGGTTGGGGTCAGGGATACGGGACACAGGACTGCTCTGTGAATACTGAATAAACAGGCAGAAAATAGTATTGTGTGGTGTTGTGTAACTAGTATAACACTAATAATGCAAGCTTTTGTCTTACAGGAAAATTGTGTTATTTTTTTCACCTTTATTTACAATCAAATGCATAGGCTACAAACATTGCAAATATATGCTGAATACAAAAATCAAAAGTCAATTAGACAGGCATGGAGACAAATGCATATTGGTTAGAAAGAATACAATAATACAAATGTATAAACAGCTTTCATATATTGGAAAGAAATGGAAAGGAAGAGGGGGGCGTTCGTTTATTATTGTTCATTATACTATATACTATATTTGTTTGTAAATGTGGTTGCGTTGCTTCTTTAGTGTCTAAAAGTCTTGATGTATTGCTCACATTCCTATGGAAATCCACACAAATTGTGAAATGTTGTGAATCCCCACCTTTTTCATGCCAGTGAACGCATCCCGGGAGCCGCCGTCGGATTAGTGCTGTGGACGCGTGACGTCACGGCCGGGCTGGGTCTGCTGCTAATTGTGACAGAGGAATAAAAGATGTGATGTGCGGAGGGGTTGCAGAGACAAACACCGTGGAGTCCAGCAGCGTCACGGTCAAGTAAGAGCTGTATGTGAGCATGACGTCAATCTCACCCTACTACAGACCATAATATGCAGGCTGGAGTTATTAGCGCTGAATCATTTGTTTGTTTACCAGGCTTATTATGGTTTGTGTTGGAGTCCGCTGCTGGAAACATGTGTTAGTCCAGTGTTAGACCTGTGTTAGTCCAGTGTTAGTCCAGTGTTAATAGACTGTGTTAGTCCAGTGTTAGTCCTGTGTTAGACCTGTGTT